AAATGCAGCACCAGAAGCTTGGATTTGCCTCACATCTCGCAGCTGATCCTGTGCCGCACTGCTGTCGCCACCATAGGCGGCATGACCCCAGGTGACCACAGATCCATCACCCAGGATTGCAGCAAATGCAGCATCAGAAGCTTGGATCTGCTGCACATTCTTCAGCTGCTCCTGGACGGCACTGCTGTCGCCACCATAGTCGGCATGACCCCAGGTGACCACAGATCCATCGCCCAAGAGTGCGGCGAATGCAGATAACTCATTACGGCTATGGCTGCCACATCTGTTGACTGTAAGCTGGACTTGAAACACATGTAAGGTGAGCACATCCCCACTCATCAACTTCGCTTCTGTGATAGTTTTTGCTCCGTCAAGAATCTCTCCAAGAGAATTCAACAGCCGCCCTCTACCGGTGAACAAAGCACTCTGGGCACGTTCCTTCAATGACTCAACAGATGCATTCGCCTCCGCTTCAAAAGAAGCACTTTTGCCACTCAGTAGATGCACATCCACAGAGATCGACATGGCACTAGATATCGTATGCTTGAGCTTCCCCTAAGGGTCCATGTACTCAAATAGGATATACTTTGGCCTTAATGTAGTCCCTAAAAGGGCACTTTAGGGCCAATGACTATACTATTTGGGTACATGGACCCTTAGGGTTCTGTTGCAACCATACACGAAACATCGGCTCGAGAGCTCGATAAGGCTGTATAGGACTCGCTGCATCACAAAACCACAAATTTGAAAGCTCCCTGCTTGAAAGTCGTTAAGCGGCTGGTGAGTGAATATCGGTTTTGGGCCATAAGCTTTACTAGGTGTCGGTTTCAACAGTCCCCCAAATTACGTATAAACAGGGCTAATTAAAAGTTATCCAAAATCGATATCTAGTTAAGGCAAATAATATAGGGGGCTTTGACAAAGTCTGGGGGATTCCTCAGGAATAATAGGGGTGAGTATTCAGGTCCTTACATGGGCAGTTCTCTAAACTAGGGTCCCTTTTAGGGTCCCTTCTATAAGGGTGCCGTACTATTTGGGGGACCCAAAAAAGGACACAAAATTAAAGAACTACCGATATGCCAAGCTTGCGGTGTCAGGCTGAGCCAGATCCCGACTCGCTAGGTTGGGGTTTAGGGTTTAGGGGTTTAGGGTTTAGGCTTAGCGTAGGTCCTATATCATAATCAGATATCAGATCACCGGGTACACCCCAACAAACATAAAAGGAACTACATCTAACGGTCTAGGTAGGTGTTAGGGTCCAATCAGTCCTGGCCAATGAACAAAAGCTCTACGTAGAGTCCTTAATGAGAAAGTCAAGCAGGGTCATGATTGGAAATATCCAACTACACTACACCTGCTCCCTAAACCCTAAACCCTCCCGGCGGCCCAAGGCGTGGAATCCATTGCGGTTTGGCTTCCAAACTTCGCTGTCTGGCTTTAGCTCAGAGAGTTTGCTTCGGGGTTACGGTTACTAAGCGTCCTGGGTATAGGGTTTCTAGGATTCTAGGGGCTGCAAGTAGGTTCAGGTTGGGAGTTATGCCTATGCTAAACCCTATAAACCCTAAACCCTAAACCCCTAGACCCCTAAACACCTAAACCCTATATGCATTATTTACCCTATCAACCCTAAACCCTAAACCCCTAAAAACCTAAACCCTATATGCATTATTTACCCTATAAACCCTAAACCCTAAACCCTAAACCCCTAAACCCCTAAAAACCAAAAACCCTAAACCCAAAAACCCTAAACCCCCAAAACCCTAAACCCCAAGAACCCTAAACCCCTAAACCCGATATGCATTATTTACTTGCCCAGGATGCAGAGGAACTGGAAGGATCTGGAAGGTTGACCTTGTGACTTAGGGATTAGTGCTTGGGGTTTTGTTCGGGAACGTATTGCCGAAAGAGGGCTAAAGGCCATCTACTATACTGTTTAGGGTTTAGGGTTTAGGGTTTAGGGGTTTAGGGTTTAGGGTTTAGGGTTATACACTAGGTCTCGATGAAGATACATCATAAAGTCTTTGTGTGCAGCAGCAGGCTTGCTTTTCGGATGTGGTCCGATGTACGTCTTTCCTGAAGAGATCCGTCCCCTTGACGTTGATCTTGCGCTAACCCAAGACAAATTTTGCCAAAGGTAGTCATGAACATGAGGGCTTCACCCTCTTCGACATGCCCACCTCTAGCAATGACATTACAAATTGAGGCACGGCTTTAGAAGCACTTGCGGTGCACGATGGTCGGGCCGCTCTCATCGTACTCGCCCTTGGAGATCCACATCTGCTGGAAGGTGCTCAACGAGGACAGGATGGAGCCTCCAATCCACACGCTGTACTTACGCTCCGGTGGGGCCACCACCTTGATCTTCATGGTGGAGGGTGCCAGAGCAGTCAGCTCCTTGGTCATGCGCTCACCAATACCCTGAAACATAGTGGTGCCACCGGACAGCACGACGTTGGAGTAAAGGTCCTTACGGATGTCCACATCGCACTTCATGATGGACTGGAAGGTGGTGTCGTGGATACCGCTGGCCTCCTTGCCCACGAAGCTGGGCTGGAAAAGAACCTGTCGCGCACAACTATGGCCCTGCGACACCACTAGCGATGTCAGATAGTTTAGCTGTTTCCCTGTGCATGTTCGCGCTGGACGACTCCTAAACGGCCCACAGCAAAGCCTATGCCGATGCTGTCAGCAAGCATGCTAGTGCTGCGGCTTTATTCAGACTACATGGATTTCACCGCCTGACCTCGGGGCAGCGGAAGCGCTCTGCGCCGACGGTGATGATGTTGCCGTCTGGCAGCTCGTACGTCTTCTCCTTGTCGCTGCTCTCGCTGGCTGCCTTCATCTCACTGTCGAAGTCCAGCGCGATATAGCACAGCTTCTCCTTGACAATAACTCATGTATGATTTAGTACCACACCACATGTGTATATATATATATAATATACATATACACATACATATATATATATATATACATACATATGTATATACACAAACAAAGTTTATATAATGCACACAGAACATGATACCTCACATACTGTGTCCTTGACATCACGGACAATCTCGCGCTCGGCCGTGGTGGTGAAGGAGTAGCCGCGCTCGGTCAGGATCTTCATCATGTACTCCGTGAGGTCACGGCCGGCCAGGTCCAGTCGGAGGATAGCATGGGGCAGCGCGTAGCCCTCGTAGATCGGCACTGTGTGCGACACACCATCACCGCTGTCCTGCACACACCGTATCAACAGCTAGGATGCGTGCCGTACCTAGATCGGCTGAAGCGCTGCATGACTCATAGAGTGTGAAGTTACCTTAAGAACCCCAAACCCACTTCTTTGTAGGTTCTTATTATAAGCCCTAATATGGGATTTATAGGGACCCTACAAAAAAGTAGGTTTGGGGTTCTTGAGGTAACCGTCTTAGAAGCTCGGCTCTCAACCTGAGGCGGAGGGTTCAGGCTCGAGCTCTTGATCCTTCTCAAACTGTAACAGTGCACACCCTAAGTTTAGGGTTTAGGGTTTAGGGTTTAGGGTACCGTTTTGTCACGGCCCAAAGAAATGTCCATGACGATGCCCGTCGTGCGGCCGGAGGCATAGAGAGACCTTCGTCGAGAAGTTCACGAGCCCGAGGAGAAGTTGAACAATCATTCCATGTACGGTTTAGGGTTTAGGGTTTAGGGTTTAGGGTTTAGGGCTGCAAGTCCACAAAAGCATAGAATTGGAGGATTGAAACTGTTGAGCGCTTTTGAGCTTTTGCTTAGTTTCAAGCGCTAAGGCACAGCACCGCCTGGATAGCCACGTACATGGCCGGAACCTGAGAGGTTTACAGGAATCGCTGGGCTTCATCTGGGAGTTTCCGAAAAAAAGGGGTACCTTATTTTGGGGTCCTTATAATAAGGATCCTATTATTTGGGGTACTGGGTCCCCTATTTTCGGAAACCCCTAATGTTGCGAAAAGAGCCCTGGGCTTTTTGGATGAAGTGTGTCGGTTCTGGGTTTGGGGCTCAGGGTGTGGGGCTGCGGATGTAGATTCTAGGATTCAGTTTAGGGTTTAGGGTTTAGGGTTTAGGGTTTAGGGTTTAGGGTTTAGGGTTTAGGGTACCGATTCTAGGATTCAGGGTGCATGGCTTGGAATCCTGGAACCAGGGGTTTTTGTTTCAAGGTGGAGGTCAAACCGATAGAGTCATCATGGCTGATCGTTACGTCATAGCACGCCATTCCGAATACGAGTAGGCAAATCCTGAACCCTAAACTGTAAACCCAAAGCCCTGAACCCTGAACCCTAAGCTCTAAACCCTAAACCCTAAACCAACCCTAAACCCTAAACCCAAAACTCTGAACCCTGAACCCTAAACTCTAAACCCTAAAACCTGAACTCTAAACCCTAAACCCTGAACCCTGAATCACTGAACCCTCAACCCTAAAACCCCTAACCCCTAAAACCTAAACCCTATAAACTCTAAACCCTGAACCCTCCACCCTAAAACCCTGAGAGGGTGCAGAGGTCGGACTCGGCCCCGAAGATCAATTCTACAAGGGTTCCTAGGTTCTTGTTCTATAGTTCTATACAGGGTTTAGGGCTTTAGGTTTAGGGTTTAGGGTTTAGGGTTTAGGCCCCTAGGTTTAGGGTTTAGGGTTTAGGGTTTAGAGTTTAGGCCTCTATCCCTAAACCCTAAACACTGAACCCCCTCCCTAAAAACCTGAAGCTCTGGAAACACTCAACTCTGAATCCCCTACCCCCTACACTCTATGAGCACGAAACTCTGAAGCTCCCGTATAGACCCCACTTGGAGGGTCATGGGACTTAGTCAGTAAGGTTATAAGTTGTAAGTATCTTAAATGGGGTTTTAAGTAGTTATAAGCATAGTTACCTTAGTTATAACCGTAGTTAATAAGTCCCATGATCCTTTAAAATAAACCAACCCGGAAGCCGAACACCTGAAAGACCAAAGCCCTGAACCCCCTGAGCCCCAACTTCTAGGGGCCCTCAAACCCCTACGCAATCCTAAAACCCCAAAAAACCCTAAAATTCAAAACCCCAAAGCGTCTTTGGGGCCTTAGGGTTTGGGGGGTTTAGGGTTTCCTCTCTTTCCGAACCTCACTGAGCTCCCTCTGCTATTGAAAATCTGTCGGCGCCTTCAACAGTAAAGTATCCCATCCCCCCACAAACTGCTTGCCGTCTAGTGTATAGCGAAGCCCAGAAAGTTGGAACGTGAGTTTAGGAGGACTGGTGCTAGGATCCCTTATACTTTACCAAAAGGGCATGAGGATATTGATGTTCCGACTTTCTGGCTTCTGCTATAGACGGTTTGGGGTCTTAGGGTTTCAGATCTTACAGAGGGGTCTTCAGCTCATAGGGTTCAGGGTGTAGGGTTTAGGGCTTAGCGCTCCATAAGGTCACGCATGCAGGATTTACTCTGAAGATGCTTTTCAGGGTCGTGGCACCTCCTTCTCTGAAGCGACGGGCTTTTAAGTTTAGGGCTTAGGGACTTCGGGCTTGGGGTTGGGCGTCTTACGTAAAGGAGTTTAGACGGTTAGTTTAGTGTTTAGGATTTAGGGCTTTTGGGTCTCCGGGCTTTGGGTTTTGCCCGAAGGGCTCGTGTTCAAGCCATGGAGCGTTGAAGGTCTCGAACATGATCTGCGTCATGCGCTCGCGGTTGGCCTGGGGGTACTAAATCCTAAACCTCATAACCTTATAACCCTAAACGCGAAACCCCAAACCCTATAGAACCTTGTACCCTAAACCCTAAAGCCCTAAAGCCCTAAATCTCTAAAACCCTAAACCCGAAACCCTAATCCCTAAAACCCTTCAGCCCTAAAACGATAAACCCTAAAACCCTAAAGCCCTAATTAAACCCTAAACCCCTAAAACCCGAAACCCCTAAAACCCAAACCCCCTGAAACCCGAAACCCGAAATCCCTATAAATCCCTACAACCCAAAAACCCTAATTAAACCCTAAACCCCTAAAGCCCGAAATCCCTACAACTCGAAATGCGAAATCCCTAGAAATCCCTACAACCCGAAATCCTAAACCCCTAAAGCCCTAAACCCCTAAAGCCCTAAACCCGAAATCCCTACAACCCGAAACCCCTAAAACCCGAAACCCCTAAAAACCCGAAATCCCCACAACCCGAAATGCGAAATCCCTATAAATCCCAACAACCCAGAAACCCTGATTAAACCCTAAACCCTTAAAGCCCGAAACCCCTAAACCCCTAAAGCCCTAAACCCGAAATCCCTATAAATCCCTAAAATCCCTATAAATCCCTACAGCCCGAAATCCCTATAGATCCCGACAGCCCGAAATCCCTACGCAGCAAAGCCTGGCCTTGGGGTTCAAAGGGGCCTCCGTCAAAAGCACCGGGTGCTCCTCGGGGGCCACGCGCAGCTCATTGTAGAAGGTGTGGTGCCAGATCTTCTCCTCTTCTTTATGCTTAGGGCTTATAGGGTTCAGGGTTTAGGGTTTAGGGGTTTAGGGGTTTAGGGTTTAAGGGGTCTAGGGTTTAGGGTTTAGGGTGTGGGGTTTAGGGTTTAGGGTTTAGGGTTTAGGGTGTGGGGTTTAGGG